ATGTTTTAACTTACTAAAATGTAAAGAAAACCAGAAAATAGTAAATATCTTCAAAAGTTCTGATATTGAGGCCATCCTCTTCAGTGAAATAAATAGGACACACATGTAAATACTGAATAGTTTCTCTGGTGTGAGAAACTGAAAGTGCAAATAAGGATTAAAATGATTAAAATGAATAATTGATATTTGAAATAGGAATAAAAGGTCCAAAAGTGTAGGGAAAGTGGGAGGGGAAGGGGAAAGGAAAGAAAGGAGAAGAAAAATTATGAGAAAAGGAAAAAGTGGAAACAAAGTCTCTGTAAATAGGGAGGGGTGGAGGGGGAGAAGGGAGGACAGGGAATGGGGATAAAATAAGAACCAAGATCAATCACGTACAGGTACAATTATCCAATGATAAATGTAAATGTGTTGTATACCTAAAATGTACCAATAAAGGAATTTAAGGGGAAAAAAAGTTCTCAGAGCCAGTTTCAAACAATTGAAAGCATTGCCGCCAATAGTCTCTATCAAATTCATGTCAATTTAAGTTTGTTGTAAAAATTACATGAATAAATCTAATGAAATATATGCAAGACTAAATCCTGAAATCTAAGAAATAATAAAATTACTAACATAATTTTAAAAGGACATAAATGTGGAAATATATATATGAATGAATTAGAAGATGCATAATTAAGAGGTTAATCATTGCATAAAATATCTTCAAAATTAATCCAACAGCTCTTTTAAAATTAAATAAATGGATAGTCAAAATTTTAAAAAATTTTGAATTCTTAAAATAGATACAATTTTGAGAAGCTAAAATAAGTTTTTAAGACAGACTTTAACTGTTCTCAAGAAGTCGTAAAAATATTCAGGAATTAAGATAGTGTTACATCTTAACATCAGTAGTACAAAAATATTACAAAACAGAGTGCTTAAGGATTTATGAGACATAAGCAAGTGGACTAACACACATTTGAGGAGAGTTTCATAAATAGAAGTGAGAGTCAAAGAACTAGAAAGTTTATTAAGATACAGTCTAAAGCTTTCACAAACTGAGGAAGCAAATGAGCATCCACATCCCAAAAGTCCAAAGAACATGGAGTAAAATGAATCCAAAGAAATTCACATTGGGAATTACAACCCAAGTGTCAAAAGTCAAAGACAAAAAGAAAATATTGAAATGAGCAAGAGAAAAGTACATTTTCACATTCAAGGGAACTATTGTAAGATGATTAACAGCAGGGGCGGGGGATTTAGCTCAGGTTTCGCTGCCTGCCGTGCAAGCACAAGGACCAGAGTTCTATCCCCAGTACCAAAAAAAAAAAAAAAAAAATGATTAACAGCAGTTTTCTCAGGAGAAAGCTTGCAGGCCAGTAAGAAGTGGAAGGATATAGTGCTAAAAGTAAAAGAAAACACTGTCAAGAATACAATTCCTGTCCAAATTATCCTTCACAAATAAAAAAAGAACTAAAGAAAAAAAAAGTTGTGGGATTCTTCTTACCACTCACATCTGCCTTATAAGAAACGCGAAAGGAAAGTTTTCAACTTGAAAAGCGACTTATGAAAACATACAAGGTAAAAAACTAACTGTAAAGTTATTATCACAATCATAATACTGTAACACTGTAATGGTGCTGATTGAATCCCTTTTAATTTTTGTATAAAAGTTAAAGACAGGAGTAAGAGCAACTAAATGACAGAGTGGAAGTTCTCTGACTCCACTTCCCCACACCCAGAAACCCATCTGGCAACTATTTACAGTGAAGAATACCTTTGTGATTATCCCCAAGTAGAAGCAAGGTTGAGACACCCTCTTCACTTCATAACTGAAAAGAATCGTGCTGCCAAGGTGGATGTTTCTCTCTTATTACACCATCCTTTCCCGCAAGACAAGGGAGAACCACAGACTGAAGATTGCCCTGGACCAGTGGTTTCCACAGTAAGACAGATGAGTTGGAAGTAGACATTGAGCTTCCCCATTATTCTGGGACCCAACACAGGAGACATGCACCTGTCTCACTTCAAGGGGAACAATATCAAATCAAACTAAAAAGCTTCCTCATAGCAAGAAGGGGATAAAATGAAAAAGTAACATCTGAAATGAAAAAGCAACATCTGGAATAAGAGGAGGTCTTTACAATCCATATGACAAAGGCTTAATTTCCAAAGTATTTGAGGAATTCAAACACCTCAATGGAAAAAAATCACATACAGGAAAATTTTGGTTTGTGAGCATGATTTGTTCTAGAAACACACTTGTAATCCAAAGCATTTGTATATCAAACTTAATTTCTCCATAAGAAATAAGGCAAACTTAAATGGTTCATTCCACAACCCAAAGACATTCATAGAAAATGATCACAGTAGTGTAATATGATATAAAATAATAAAGAAAATATAAAACATAAAGAAAAATAAACAAAGAAATTAATCTGAACTTACCTTTGAAAACCTCCATAGCTGGATGTGAGTGAGACAAAAGGGAGGAGGGTTATTGCACAGGACAATTTTCAGTATCACTAACAGAATCATTGCTATCTTTTTTTCTTCTCATGCAGCTTTAACAAGGGGCCTATCTGATGACACTTGCTTTTGTCTCCTTTCAAGAATTTCAAGGAAATGTGACATTGCATTGTTAAACGAGTCATTGCTCCCACTGCTAAAACCTGATTTGGGTAGTGCTTTTCTATAAAATTTTGTAGTGTTTCCCAAATTTTACACATATCCTTAATCTCATTTGAAGTGAAGGATTCCGCTGCCTTTTTCTCCTCTTCCTCTGCAGAGGAGGTCTCCTCCATAAACTCCTGCTGATGGCAGATAATCACCCACAATCCCACAGTGAAGGGCGGGAGATCATCGGCTCAGTCAGGATCATGTGATGTTCCCCATTACTTGCTATCCATACTGGAGGACATCAATTTTTTCTCAAGTTAAAATTCATTAGTGCCAGGGATTTAGCTCAGTGGCACCGCCTCACAAGCACAAGGTCATGAGTTTGATCCCCAGTACCAAAAAATAAATCACTAGAAATGTTTGTTAGTCTTGCGGTCTTGCATAATACACAGAACAAGTTATTCACAATCCAAGGTTTTTACTGTAAACCAACTTTAAAATGAAAAAAGAATCTGAATTGACATGTCAAAGAGAAAGATATACACATTGTCAAAAAGTGTATAAAAAGATGCTCAACATCATTAATTACGAAAGAAATGAAAATTAGGACTACCATGAAACATCACCTCACATGAAAGGTAAGAAAGGTAATTTGATGTCAATTTATGGAGAATTCAGACATGTGGGCTTTGTGAAAAATAAAACCCTTAAGAGATTTTTAGCACACAGAGACAAAGTCTAAGCTACATTTTAGGAGTTACGAGGGACTAAAGTAGAGTGACTAAGAAATAATAAATGACTGAATGATATTTTTCCTCCTCAGTCGCTCTGTGTAAGGAATGTTTTGTCATTTTAAGTAGGCTTTTACAGAAACCACTGCTCCTAGGTCATACATTTCTGATGTCCTCAATATTTCACACTACTTACTATGAACATTCCTTCTCACCTAGGAGTTTTAGTCATACCATGTAGACCCCCAGAGTCATATGTTAGAAGTAGAAAAGACATTAATCTGTAAAAGTAAATGCTTTTCTCATATTAATTGGGAAGCAGCATGTTCCTCTCTCAAGCAGCATAAATGTTAGTGCCCCTTTTACTTTCCTCTCATATCTAAAGAACTCTGTTTTGCTATTTTTCTAAAACTTATGTTTAAATTTGATGAATTTTTATTCAATATCCTTCAATAGCAATACTCAATATTTTCCTCAACTTGCCTAGATTATCTTTAACACATGGACAGGGACATTTTAAATGGGATTCATCTTCATGTTAGAATATTTGATGACATATTATGACTTATTTTTCCTCAGACTGTCTTCTGGAAGGTTTTTGGAATCTATATTCCAAACTATATATTCTTTATAAGTAATGGTGCCTCAGAGAAGCTATCCCTATGCTAATGATTCCTCAGAGAATGAGTAATCATTAACTTTTTAGAGATCTATGGGTTTGGAAGAAAAGTACTTTCATAAAGCTGTAGAGAAAGTCCCAAAAGAACAGAACATGAAAGAAATGCATTATTTTATGTGGAGCAATAAAAGTCATTCTCTAACTAGAGACAGGACAGTGTGCATAAAATAGGTCATTTAGAGGTCTGATATGTGAAAACTGTGATAACTTCTTGTTAACTGAAGACGTCACAACATTATAATATCAAAAGTCAATGTTAGTAAGTAACACTAGAGAATTATATTTTAGGATGTTCAGGCAGGAGCAATAAATGTTCAATAGAAATTCAGAAATAATGGCTTTAAAATGATTACTACCAATTTACTGTGCAGTAGGCCTTTTTTCTTTGCATATTCCAAAATAATCATATATTAGAGTAAGAAATAATCCAATGAAACTTTCTTTACTGAATCTATTGAAGCATAAATGGGGTTTAGACATAGAAACATATATTTATTAAGTGCCAGTTTTATTAGATTCATGTCTAGAAACCAGATTGGATTATCCTAGCTCTTAGGCTTATAAAATGAATTTAACTTTAGATAATTCTATCAGGGTTGCATACTAAGGGAAAGATTTAATGCAGGTATTTTTTGTTTGTTTCTTTTTTGTTTTTTTGATGTAGAAAGTTGTTTTACATATATATATATATATATATTTTTTTTTTTTTTTTTTTTTTTTTTTTTTTTTTTTGGTACCTGGGATCGAACTCGGGTCCTTGAGCTTGAGGAGCAGGCAGCAAAACCACTGAGCTAAATCTGCAGCTCAGTAGAAAATTGTTTGCTATACTTAAAGTTCACAGTATATAGCAAGAAAAAAATTAGGTATGTCATCTTCCTAAATTATGATTATTAAAAAAAAATCACTTCTTGTTCATTGTCTTCTCTTCATTCTTAAAAAATAATATATTTTAAACTAGTTCTAACTGGTAACAATCTGATTGTCTCTTGACCTTGCAGATTCCTGACACAATGAATGAGTCTGAGGCAAATTCGAGCTTTGCTTTTGTGAAAGAATTTATTCTCCAAGGCTTCTCTTGTGAGTGGAAAATTCAGGTCCTCCTCTTCTCACTCTTCACTACAACGTATAGTTTCACCCTAACAGGAAATGGAGCCATTGTATGTGCCCTTTTGCATGACCAGCGACTCCACACCCCCATGTACATGTTCCTGGGGAATTTCTCCTTTCTAGAGATCTGGTATGTCTCCTCTACAGTCCCAAAAATGTTGGTTAACTTCCTATCAGAGAAAAAAAACATCTCCTTTGTTGGGTGCTTCCTTCAATTCTATTTCTTTTTCTCTTTGGGTACATCTGAATGTTTCCTTTTAAGTGTCATGGCTTTTGATCGGTACCTGGCTATCTGCCATCCCTTGCACTACCCTAATATTATGACAGGGAATTCTTGTATCAAACTGGTCATTATCTGCTGGGTTTGTGGGTTTCTGTGGTTCTCAATCCCAATTGTTCTCATGTCTCAAATGCCCTTCTGTGGTCCATATGTTATTGACCATGTTGTGTGTGATCCAGGGCCACTCTTTGCATTGGCTTGTTCCTCTGCCCCAAGGACTCAATTGCTTTGCTACACTCTAAGCTCCTTAGTTATCTTTGGTAACATCTCTTTTATTCTTGGCTCCTATACGCTTGTCCTAATAGCTGTAATGCGTATGCCTTCAGCCACTGGGAGACATAAAGCCTTCTCCACCTGTGGGTCCCATTTGGCTGTGGTATCACTGTTCTATGGTTCTCTGATGGTCATGTATGTGAGCCCAGGCCTTGGGCACTCTTCTGGGATGCAGAAAGTTGCAACTTTGTTCTATGCTATGGTGACTCCTCTTTTCAACCCTCTCATCTACAGCCTAAGAAATAAGGAGATAAAGGCAGCCCTGAGGAAAATCGTAGGGAGTCTCAACATTGCCTGAGGCATATTCAATGATTTCTCTATGATTGGATCTGCAGAATCTAGCAAAATACAATAGAAGAATTAAAATTGTAACAATGCATTTTGACTGTTTAGTTTTTTGAATATATATATACACACACACACACACACACACATACATATACCATGGCTCTTATCACACATGGCTTTATTATTTTGATGATATGGTCTTGCCTTATACATAAACCCTTTTAAGCAACTTACTAAAATTTCTATCATACAATAAGGTATTCTAGCCTAATTATTTCTAGATGTTAGCTGCTTTCTTTATCCTGTACCTCTCTCTCTAATCCTCAAAAGGACAGCTGCTAATTTCATTTATAGTAACAATAGCCAATATATTCAGAAATGCACTGTCCTGGGTACCTAATAGTTTTATCTAAATGAGGTCTCACCAAAACTTTAATGTGTTAATTAATTAAGTTTTGATAAGAGAATATTTCCTCCTAGAGATTAGAGAGGGAAATGGTATACTTGTGGATAAATTGAAATAAATGGTATTGCATTGTTATCTGTTGCTGAACCAGTATGAACAAAACATTAATAAAAATTTTTAAGGGAAAATAGCACCCATAATTCAATCACTCCATGTCTGTTTTCTTTAATATAGTATTGAACTTATTCCTAAGCAATAATTTATACAAATATGATATCGATTCTGAATTTTTTATATGGCAAGGTGAACATATTCTTTGAAGGAAGGTCTTCTGTCCAAGAAAATAGGAACTGTCTCATAAAAGATATAAGAAAAGGGATTTTCAGGAGTAGCATTAGTACAAGATAGTACTTTGGTTTAGAATTAGTTCTGAGGCACCCAAAGATATGGTTAGTGAACACTCCAACATCCTGTTTTCATCTACTACAAATCTTTTTGTTGGACATTATAGTTACTCTCATTCTTTTGTCATAAAATGTTCATAGAGATAATAATAATATTTTCCAAACAAAATAAAATTGATCATCTAATCTAAAAGAGAAATTTCCCAGAAAATCCTGGACATAAGAATTTTATGTGCATGTAACATTTTTTTTCTTTTAGGGCTTTTGACTTCCAATGATTTTTTTGGAAAAAGGAGATTATTACAGTTCAAAATGTAGCTATGCATTTGTAAATTTTGGCATGAACAGTCTAGGTTAAAAAAAGTATTTGCTCCTGTGATTGACAAGTTGTCAAACTCCTTAGTCAATCTTATTTCTAAGAATTCCGCCATGTATCTCTCACTTATATAGTGTATTGAATCTGTTTCCAAGCTCTATATCCCTTTCCAGAGTGTATAACTTTAATTTCTTGAGATCAGTCTGGAAAGCGCTAAAGAAGAACAAATGTTCAAGCCAGGAAGTATTTACAAGGTAATTTTAGAACTCCCTTCTTGAATTACTAAGTAACCATCCACTGCTTTTTCAGTGGTCTCTGTATAGAACTTCAATTACTAGGAATGGTGACAGGCTTTTCCCCATTACTAAATTATTTATACTACAATTTATATACCATATTTTTTCCAAGACAAATTCTGCATTCAAGGCAGAAAGAGCAGGAGGGCTGAGAGAAGGAGAGAGAGGGAGAGACTATGAGGGAGAAATGAGGAAAGAGAAAATGAGTACAATAAAATGAGTAAAATGAGTAACGGGTATAGCCATGAAAAGATAATATTTTATTTTGTTTTTGTTTTCCTAAGCATTTAGATTTTCAAAAGAACACAGTAGGAGAAAATTTTAAAATAATCTTAATAGTCCATTTTTTTCCACATGGGAAATGAGAATAGTATTTTCTACTTTCAAATATGAATCATGGACTTTATTAGCTGCCTTTAGCAACTTGTGCTAACTACATGTTAAACATCCCCTCAATTACAACTAATTCTCTCACAAAGCAAAATTTACTTGTACAACCTAACATTATGTACTCTCAAGGTTTCTGGAAAAGTTAGGACATGAGATTCATGGACAAAGAATACTACAAGAAAAGAGTGTGGATTTGTTGGATTAGTAAACTTAGATGCCGAAGTTCTTCACCACAGTGTTTGTTCACTTGGCAACAATGGAAAAACCATTAGCATCTGAAGCCATGTGTTTTGTGCCAGGCAATGTTCTAAGTTGTCTCTATGTACTATTTTATTTACTCTTTATGATAACATAAAAGGATCAAGTTTATAGTATTTTATTTCCAAATTACTGAGGATGAAACCCATACAAAGACTAACTTGCTTATTAGGAGACAGTATCTCATTCAAGGCAGGCTAACTGCAGAGCCCAATCTCTTCACTACTAAAGAAGGAAAAGGCTAACCCTCTGTCAGGTAGGCTTGTTTCACATTTACATTATTTGACTTTTCTGGCTTTGACCTTTCTGCCTAGATTACTTTAATTGGTTAAACAGAGCTGATGATAGCACTCATGTCAGTGTGGCTGCAATAAATATAACAGGCAACTCAGAATACCATGTACTGTACCTAGTATCAATAGAATTGTTTTCAAATAATATTATCAATGTCTTTCCTTAGTAAAGCTCTTTATATTATCGCAAAGCTATTCAGTTTATATTCAGAATTTCTGATACATAATAGGGTAGGTAGCTCCATACATATTGCATAATAAGGCTCAAATTATTGTCAAAGATCACATGTAGTAAATGAAGGACCCTGTTCTGACTGAAGTTCAATTCTGCCCAGCTGTGTACCCTCTTCTGGGAACCATAGCTGAGTCCTATATCCCTGTCTTTAGAAAACCATGGCCAAGCAGACCAAAGAACTGGATTTACCCTAGAAAAGAATATTTAGAGGAGAAATGAGTTGTTTTAAAATAAAGACTACAAAATACGTGAAGATGTATGTTAGATCTTAATATGTAAAATATTATGTTGGTGAGTGAAAATATAGAGAGTGAAACAATACTATGTAATCTTACATAGATATGAAGTCATTGTATGGTTAGAATATTTGTTTTATCTTAGATGTTAATATCTAATTTTTCCATGATAAACATGTATATTTCCTCTAATTTACAATGGATTTGGAGTTTTAAAATTTAATGTACAGAAATGAATATATAAAGTAAAGCAATGTAGAGTAGATTATCTAAATTTCCTTTCCAGAATATGTGTAAGGAAAGGATAATCTTACTGTGCACAGCAAGCCTTATAATGCAGTTTTTACAGAACCCCTCAAAGGCTTTTCTTTGTAAAGGGGTTATTTTGGGGCTATTTGTAAAGGGGAGTAAATTTTACACTTTGGTGTTTGTATTTCACTCACAATCATCTCATTCTATACATGGGTGAGAGGTGTTTGGTAGCAAACTCTGGCCTTGCAGTTTTTATTGTAGATGTTTGAAACAGGAGAGAGAGAGAGAGAGAGAGAGAGAGAGAGAGAGAGAGAGAGAAATAGTGACATACTGTATAATCTTTTCCCAGGAAGCTATTGTCAAAATGTGTCTCTCTTCCCTGAGCTCCCTGCTTACCCCTTTTATAAGAACCAAATTTCATTAAGAGAGTTTGAATTATTGTGGTTTTTCCCACTTACCTTTTAGTTATCTGTATCTTTTATAACAACATATTTCAGATGCTCAAATCTTTTAGATAACATTAGCCATTCATCTATCAAATTATATACTTATTTTCAAGGAGAGAAAACACCAAATAGGAGGAATAGCCAGAGTCAATGTCTCTGAATCAGTGGTGGGGAAAAGAAGATACCCTGAGCCTAGGATGAGAGATAAATGAAAAGAAAATCTAGTTGGACTAAAATCCAGTGTTTAGGAGGTTGTAAGGGAAACTAGCCTATCCCTGGACCTCAGAACCCTCCCATCTATGTTCCATTTTGGGAGAAGATCGCACTGAGGGTGGGAAGAGGTCCTTCAGCGATGGCCTGTCTGGTGAAATAGACTCACAACCACTCTAATGCCTCTACCAGGCACTGCCTCACTGCTTCACCATGGAACTTTCTCCAAAATAGACCAGGTACTAGTCCATAAGGACTGCTTAAGAAATAGGAAAAATCAAAATTATCCCATGTATACTATCAGATCATAATGGAATGAAACCACAAATCAATTGCATAAGAAGTCCCAGAAATTCCACAAACACATGGAAAATAAATAACATTCCCCTTATACTCAATAGGTCACAGCAGGAATCAAGAAGGAAATTAAGCAGCTTCTAGAATCAAATAATGCCAATCTAACATACCAGAACCTACATGATACAATGAAAGTAGTCCTAAGAAGGAAGTTTATTTCTGTGAAGGACACATTAGAAAAACACATCAAGAACAAATAAATAACTAATGGTGCAACTCATGATACTGGAAAAACAAGAACAGTCTATACCAAAACCTAGTACAAGAAAGGAAATTATAAAGATCAGAGGAGAAATTAATGAAATTGAGAATAAAATTGAAAGGAATCAATAAACTGAAAAGCTAGTTCTTTGGAAGAATAAACAAAATAGACAAATACTTAGCCAAACCTACCCAAAATAAAAAAGAATAGATCCATATCTATTCCATAGAAATGAAAAAAACAAAATTACAATGGGCACTGCTGAAATACAAAAGATCGTTAGTAATGACTATGAAAAATTATACTCCAACGAGTTGGAGAATATTGAAGAAATGGACAGATTTCTAGACACATATGAATTATCAACACAGAACCAAAAAGACATAAATACTCTGAGCAATCCAATAACAGGAAATGAAATCAAAATTGAGGCAGTAATTTAAAAAAAAACTATCAAGTAAGAAAAGCTCAGGACATTAAGGATTCACCTCTGAATCATACAAGACCTTCAAGGGAGATATAATACTGATTTTCTTCAAATGTTGTAATGAAATTAAAAGGGAAGAAGTACTTCTAAACTCATTTCTGGAATCCAGTATCACTCTGATTCTAAAACCAGGCAAAGAACTAAAAACAAACAAAAAACAAAAGAAAGAAGGGAAGAAAGAAAGAAAGAAAGAAAGAAAGAAAGAAAGAAA